TAATTCGACAGTGTAGTGTTTCTGTATTGCCTTTTGTTACATTTCACTTCTTGTATTCATCATATATTTGATGTTTGTGATTACTGCATAGTTTTCTATTAATGACCTACACCACTGGGAACAAGGTTTTGTTTGTTTTGTCATTTTTATTTTGTTATTAACTCCTCCCCCTGTAAAGAGGAAGGAAGGATATAATGCGGCATAATTCGACAGTATAGTGTTTCTGTAGTGCCTTTTTGTTACATTTCACTTCTTGTATTCATCATATATTTGATGTTTGTGATAACTGCATAATTTCCATTAATAACCTACACCACTGGGAACAAGGTTTTGTTTATTTTGTCATTTTTATTTTGTTATTAACTCCTCCCCCTGTAAAGAACGAAGATTGGTTTATTATTGTATAAAAATAGCTGGGGGTTGTTTTTCTCTTGGCTGGTCAAGATCATGTTTTTTTTTTTTTTTTGGACTTATTTTGCACGAGTGTGCACAACAATCTAATTCGTTAAGCTAGGCACAATGAATGATTAGAAGACATATTTTCCTTGAGGTATAATACTCAATAAATAATATAAAAACTTATTTATTTTAATTTTACATTTTCACTTTTTTGGGTTCATTAAGAAAGACTTGTGAGAAGTTTGTGAAACCATATTATGAATTGGTAGGATATCAAATTCACTGTGTTGATTGATATTATAGTTCCTCTGTACGATGCATGTCAAATTTGTACAATACATGATGCTTTTGCAGAGCAAATTTGAATTCCAGTTGAGACTGCAAGAGTTCATAGAGTTGGTACGAGCCGAAAATAACCTGCGAGCTATAACATATGCCCAGAAGCATCTGTCACCTTGGGGAGCTACACACATGAAAGAATTGCAGCGCGTAATGGCAACACTTGCTTTTAGAAGTAATACTGAATGTGCTAAATACAAGGTGAACACATTTCATTACCCATCCGACTTAAAATTTTTTTACTGCATATACCAACTGTATCTGTAATTATTACAGCGTTACTTATTTTATCATCTATCCTTGAGAACTTAATCTTGCACATTTGCTTCTTGCTAAAGAACTTGCTTGCAGGCACAAAAATACTGGTTTTTGTTTGTACTATTCTTTTGAAGAGATTTATTGTGTTTCCATCCAAAAGCTACATGATGTAATTGTGAAAACAATTTATGTCGAGGGTAAATTGGCGAGAATAATTGGCATGGTTTTATTAAGTAGAAAATGATTAGACTGAAGGGATATTTTCAAAAGGATGATGTACTATATCTGATATGTATTTGGTTGATGAAATTTATGATACAACCTAGTATCTTCTGTTGAGCAATTCCTACAGTGTGATTGACTGTGACCAATAATTTGAATTAATAATAATAATGTGTCTCCATACCCCTGTCGGAACTGAGGATTTACCAAAAGGATATGCTGATCTTTGTGATTATTTTCTTTCAGGTTTTATTTGAAGAAAAGCAATGGGATTACCTAGTCGACCAATTTAAGCAAGAGTTTTGCAGATTGTATGGCATGACTCTTGAACCTTTGTTGAACATATATCTGCAAGCAGGCTTGTCGGCTCTAAAAACTCCGTATCCATACTTTGTGATTCTTAGCCATATATTACTAGATTTTCAAGTATTCCTATACTAAAATATCAAGAAATTAGGTTGTTATGACGGCTTCTGCTATTTTTGTCAAAGATTCAGTTTTCAAAATAATGTGGACTCAAATGATCGAAGTGAGCAAAAGATACTAGTACTGGCAGCAGTTTTATAAGCCAATGTTGCCTCCTTCCTTTTTTTTTCTTTCATTCTTTTTATCTTTTTAAATCAAGAGCATATTTGTCTAAGCTTAAAAGTCTACTTACAAGAGAATAAGTTCCAATTTTAATAATTTTTTATTGGTCAAAGTTGGATAATAAGTTAAGATTTACTTGCAAAATAAGTAACATTTTTTTTTTTTTTTTAAACTTAAAAGAAGGAAAGAGTAAGTTATCTAATAGTGTGTTTGTCTAAGCTTAAAAGATAAACATGATCTAAGTGAGCAACTTTTACTTTTCTTTTAAGATTAGCCAAACATCATGTTGGTCTCTTCTAAATTACGTGCATAATGGCTCCATGTGTTTGGTTGAGTAATTGCCATGTCTATCTTCGTCCAAGTTTTTACCATGACATGATTCAGATTCTGTTACGAAGATGATTGCACAAAGGAGGATCCTCTGTCACAGGAGAGCTTCCGCAAATTAGCGCAGCCACTACCATATTCAAAGCAGCATCATTCGAAACTTGTTTGTTACATAAGTAAAGAACTAATGGATACCGAGAATCCACCACTCGTCTTGCCCAACGGCTACGTCTACAGCACCAAGGTCTTCACTGTTCCGAATGCTAGATTTTGTATGAGCATGTTTGTATTTGCAGGTTCAAATTGTGTGGACATACTAAATGTGGTTTCTATATGCAGGCTCTCGAAGACATGGCAAGGAAAAATAATGGTAAAATCACTTGCCCGAGAACTGGTTTGGTATGCAACTATACGGACGTTATCAAAGCGTATATCTCGTAACTCTGTGATCGGCTGCTGATAGTCTGATTTTCGCTCGGTTGCCAACTGGTTTGTTGATTATATATCTGTGTAGAATTGCTATGGCCCCGGATAATTTTCATGCCAGGACTTGGTATCCAACATGTATATAAGCAAAACAGTGCATCTGGATTGATTGTAGTTTTAACTAAAGACTAATAATAATTCAAATTGAAAGTACTGATTCTATCCTTTTTAACTGTGAAAATCCGTGGGAAAAGTGAGGTGAAGTGGATTTGAAACTGTTTTGGGATTTAGGTATTCCTTACTCGTATATTCAGTTTTCCAAAAAAAAAATTGAGTAAATACGAATCTTTCTTGTCCTTTTACCGATCAACCATGCGATATGTATACCGCATCTTACATAATTTTTTATACTGTACCACGTGGTATCGCACTATTCGACGGTTTAAAAAAATAAACGATTTTTTAACCAATCAAATCTTGCCAACTTGATATCAAAGCTGATGTACACTTTTGGTGTCCAAATGACTTTTCCCTTTACCAATTCTCTCTATTTCTGTCTTGTACGAACTTAAGACCAAATAATAGCCAACCAAACATTTCACATCTTAACCATCTGGGCATATCTAGATTCGAATGTTATAGAACAGCCTATTATACCTCATTTCTCCCTCTGCCCTTTTCTTATCAATTTTGGTATTATTGGAATGGCAAAAAATGAACAAACCATTATTGTAACTCCATATAATTTTGTTATTTGAACCGTGCACATTGTTTATTTATTAAAGTATTTATTTCGGGTCTATAATTGTTACATGTGAGATTGCTATTTATGATTCATAGATTTTGACGAAGTTACCTTAATTGAAATCAACTTTAAATGTAGTTATTCGATTAAAATTATATTAAGATGTAGTTTTATGATTGAAATTATATTATGGTTTAGTTACTCTATTTAACAAAATTAGAGTATAGTTACCTAACTGATAGAGGCGGAGCTACATAAAGGCCAATGCAGAGCGGACTTCAGTGTGCTTGCACGGGACCAAGAAGAGAAGAAGAAGAAAAGATGAAAAGGTAAGAAGCAAACTCTATCATGCATGCTGACTCAACCAGAAACCATAGAAGAGATTTAGGGAAGTGGGAATCGTCATCTGTCGGCAACCGTGGTAAAGGGAATTCCAATCTTCCAATTTCATAATGGAGGAGATGAATGATTTTGGATTTTTTTTTTTTTTCAAGTGTTGGGCTTTTGTTTTGAGACTCATTTTTTTAAACATTAGCCCTCCCCCTTTCTTTGGATAAATATATATGTATCGAGGGGTTACTGAACGGTGTTCCCCCTCTCGCAATGTATAGCGGGGGCTCGTGTGAATTTAAAAATGACGGCTCGTGTTCCCCTCTTGTTGTGAGTAGTAAGTAAAAGATTCGATAAAAATATTCGGTACATATAACATTATCCCCCCTTTTTTAGTTGTGTGCTTTTGTTTTAATATTTTTTAGCACTCCCCTCGATCTTTTCCAGTATTTCACTTCATTTTTTTTTTAAATTATAATGACACAGGTATGGAGTAGAAAACATGAAATATTTCTCTTCAACACTCTGCATTGATCCTGTGAAGCTCTTTTCTTTCATACACTAATTTTGGTTAAAAAATCACTATAGCTGATACTTATAATTGCACCCACACTGGACCAAAACCTTGGCTTTGCCTGATCCTAGAATATAGGACATGTTTGATATGAATTCTTTTCTATGGAAAATGGAAATCCTTTTCCAACTTTAACATTTTTGGGTGTTTGATAGACTAGTTTTCTAGGCAATTCATTTTCTTGGTTTTTGCCCCCACACGTAAACATTTTCTTGCTTTTTGGGGAAAATGAGTTCTCATGGGTATGATGGTTTTTCAAATTCCAATTTTTTATTTTTTTAGGCAATAGAAACAAATTCTAAAAATTATTGTAAAAATATATTTCCCTTCAATTGATAATTTTCATATAAAACAAAGTCAAATGAACATCAAAAGATAAATAATTTTTTTGAATTTTTTTTTGACAAGAGAAACAAATTTCATCCCCAATACTAGTAAAATCTATTATTTTAATTGACAATTTTTATATAAAATAAAGTCAAACGAACAACAAAACAAACTTTTATTTCAACATTTTTCTCGTGAAAAATTATACTAATCAAACACAATAATTTACAATTTCCAGAAAAATAATTTATAAGCAATTCAATTCCCTTAAATTCATTTTCAATTCAATTTAATTCTATCTTTACGATCAAATGGGCTCATATTGTAATTAAAATGAATGAATTTTATCCCAAATTTAATGGTCATCCTTGCACGCATAAATGAAGATTTTTTAATAATAAATTTTGTGAAAAGTGATTTTAGTAGGAAAAAAAAAGGTTAAAGGTTCATGCGTAAAATTAATTTATTGATAATTAATTTTAGAAAAAATAAATTTAAAGAATTTGTACTAGACAAGCACTTAAGAGTCGGGTGGTACAAATTGAAAGTGTGGGCCTTATTGTCAAAATATTGGAAGTCTGGGATTCTACTGTAAATAGTTTCAAAGGTTCACGACCTAGCCGGAAATTTTACGGGGTACTTTTAATTTTGACCCAGTCAAAGGAACAAAATTTCAGTTTGACTTCCAAAATCATGAATATTATGACATTGGCCTCTTGTATGGTAAAAGACAAAAATGCCCTTAAATATTTTGTACAATTCCAAAACAATATATTGTTGAAAGAATTATACTACCCTTTTACTTAATAATTGAAAACCAAACATTTTCCCACTTATAAAAACTTCAAAACGAGCTTCCAACGCAGAAAAAATTCTCATCTTTTCATCTGCTTGAACCTCAAAATCTAGAAGAACTTTGGAACGTTGAAACTGGAAATTTTTTTCACATCAATTTCTTCAAATCGGTAAGTACATTTAATCATGTTTAATTTCGTTTTAAGTAAATTAGTATACGTTTAAATAGAGAAATTTTATGTCGACATAGATTTTTTTAACAGAACCTATCAAAAAAAATTAAACGGATGTATAACTTACGTTTAAATTACGCATGCTTAATTTCGTTTTTAGAACGGTATTCTCCTACGCCAAACTGGTTTAGCTTAACAAACAGTCGAAAACAGTCTGAAACAGTCCGGCTGTTGGTTGTTAAACAGCCAACAGCCGGCTGTTTAACAGCCTTGGCTGCAGCTGATTTTTTGCCTTTTTCTTTCTTATAATTAATAGTTGAAGTTGATTAAAACCATTTCCTCATGCAGATATGATAATCCCCATGTGTTATTTCGGTGATTTCGAATTGAATGAAAATAATCGGTGGGAATGGAGATGGACGAGTGACATACGTGGTTGTATTGCAATTCCCGTAACAGAGAGTACACCATACTTAGAAATGTACCACGATTTGCAAAATAAGCTGAATGTCGATTAATCTCAATACGATATGCAATTGAGATATCTATTCAACGGTTATGGGGATTCATCCATTCCGATGCCACCGGTATTCGTTACTAATGATGCTGAATTGAATTATCTATTAGAATTGAATAAAATGCATCGGACTCCGACTGTTCTTGGTGTGACTTTAATTACGAAGGATGTTATCGAAGGTGAACGCGAAGATTCGGATAGGGCGGATAACAATGATCGAAATTTTTGGGAGACAGTGGAGATAGTTCCTGCGGATGATGTGGGTATTCCTGAGACAGTTGCTTCTGATCGTGATGTCGCTGTTACGCGTAGAATTCCGTCAACAGTTGAGGACAACGAAAATATAAATGATTTTACAAATGAAAATTTAATTGCTTTATCGCGATAGAGACCTAAGCAGAGTGGGAGCTCGGGGGTGGAACAAGTGGACCGTCCTCCAATTCTTCCCGTGTGGCTCCCGATGATGAGGACTTACAGGTCAAGCAACTGTTTGAAACCAAGAAAGATTTGCA